TTTTTATATATGCAGTCTGCGCAACCATGATAATGCAATCTGCATTATCATGGTTCGAAGGTTTCCGGAATTTCTGCTCAGATCTCAGGAAAAAATTTTCATGCCTATTTTCTGTAAGCATAACCGCTTGGTTTCATAAAGCAGAAGTTCTGAAAAATTTTGGAGACAAGCACCCCAGTCTGATTTTTCCGAATGGTAGGCAATTTTTTGGCATTTACAAGTTACGATACAGGTTTGAGAGAAATAAAAACATCAAATATTTGAAACGTCTATCAGACAAGAATACTTTTACTTCCATAAATTTACAAATTTCTGAATTTCGAATTTGCTGCACTGATTCTTTGAACGATAGATCAGAGTTTATCACAGTCATAACAAAGTTGAATGACCTTAGATGAGTACCTTCTTCATGAAATACTAAAAATGGAATTCGAAAGAAAGATGACCGCTTGATGGCTGACAAAAAAGAAGTAAAGGAAATCGTCGCAGCTCCTGCATTGACGTTCATCATAGTATGGTTTTACATTTCCAAGCAATTAGACTACCATTTCTAAGCTATCTAATAAGTCACAAGGCATGCTTACATCAACACCGACATTATAGATACGGCTAAGTTTTTAATGGAAGTACACAATACAGATGACATAGAAAGGGATACCAGTGACATTGGAAACCTTCAAAACCTTAACTTTTTGTCCATAGATGCAGCTGAAGTAAAAATTAGCATGTGGACAACATTAGTAGACTGCTCAAATTTTGTTACATTATATTTGCTTAGAGGGAGACTTGAAGGAACGGAGAAACCATTGTCCTCTACAGCCCTCTCCTCACAAAGTTTGCAGTTTGGATATTTTACGGACACGCGAAATCGATTATTAATCTTAGTCAGCATTACTTGCCACAAGGTGTTCACACAAACTAACCCATAGACGACCGTGCGACCCATAGTGGATTCGCAATTAGGGACGCTTGGGTGTATCACCCTTGCTTGGTTACGCTTTTCTTTTCGCTGGTAGCGCTCCTTAAGTTCTATTACGTTTTTGAATTATTTAAATGAAGGTAATTCATCCTTTAAAAAAACTAATGCAAAATGTGGTGAATGAAAAATCAACGAAAAAGCGCGTTGGTCCTAAATAATGCACGGTCCAGGTCAAAGGGTTGAAAATAGTCTCTTTTTTCCCTAAGCCACTTTAATATAGTTTTTCAAAAATAATGTACAAGTACAGCCTCATGAGTCGCCTTTCAAATCCCGATAACGTTCAGTCCCACCTGCAAAGAGTAATATCGGGCCGTGACCCAAGAAACAACATTGAATGTACACGTGTGGAAATAAGGCATTTTACTATCTTCAACGGACCAACTTTTCAAGGCTCTATTTTAAATGAGAAGGTAAGGAGCTACAAGAGTTTTATCGTGTTTATCCCATTATTTACTCAGCTTCCTAACTCAGTAAGGTTCATTACCTCGCTATGATATTCCTCGTGCTGGTTTTGCTTCCCATCGTTGTGGAAGCGGTCAAACGTCCCGATTACAGCAAATTTCCCGTGAGTGGACAAAATACAAGGTTTTCAAGGTCCAAAACTGACTTTCAGCGCATCACCCCTGCACAATATCGTGATGGCCATCAGTACTATATCGAAGTAGACAACATCGCGGAGAAATTCATCTTCAAACCAATAGCCGTATTGTTGGTCGACATTTTTTCGACTGTAGTTGAATGAAGCATGCGTCAATTCTGATGGTGGTTTAATAATTTATGGGATGGATCGGCTGCAGAACTTGCGTCGTAGTTAATTGCGATGCAGCCGTCATATTTTGCAGCTTTATAGCATTAGCTCCGCAAGCAGGTGGCCGAATCTCCCCTCTGAAAGCCTAGCACTTTCAGAAACTCAAATGTCCGTAGCACTGTCAGTCAGCCGATTAAAGATGAGGCGATCATTTTTCGCTCTCCAACTTATAGCGCTATAAACAGAGCAACTTCCTCCCTTAGGCCGTAAATTGTTTTCCCTTAAAGAAGAAAACGGGCTCCAAAAACAGCGCAGTAGTACTCGCTCTGCTTGTACGCGTCTTTACAGCTCACAAAGGCAGCGTTGCAGCTTCCTTGGTTCAAGCGGGGTTGTTCTCGTAAGGGTCGACTGGATATCTCGCGCTGAGACCCGCACTGGTTGCCGCAATGCAACAGCGTCGCATCCTCAGTCGGCCGTGAAAGCAAGGATATACCTGCAGTTTGGTCGAATGTCACGAGGCACTAAAGCGGGGCAAAAACATTAGTCAATGATGTTGTTGACCTATAGTTCTTTTACAGTGCCCAGAAAAAAGAAGTGCTTTATGGCGAGTTTTCTGAACATGATAACAATTCATGTGCCTCATTCGCTAGTCATCGCAATGTGTTTCAAAAATGTGATTTCCAGTTCTTCTTGCTACATACCGACTTCATGTAGTAAGTATAAATAGGAGAGTTTTCTTTCACGAATATGATCAAAGAGTTCTTCAGTTACGAAAGAAAGCAATTATTGGAAGCCCTCAATGATCGAGATTGTCCTAACGTTGGCTTCAGTGATTCTAGGATTCTGCTTATTAAATAGTGCGTTGTCTATGGTTCTAAACAGATTTGAGGGCTTCTGAATTACAATTACTTAAGCGATGTTACGGAACCGTCATCTCCAAAATTCATAGGCACTTATTCACCAATGAGGGACACCGGCTATTACCTAAATCAGTCGGGGAGGAAGGTAAGTTAATATAAGAAGAGGCCGATAAATAGGAATAAATATATTTTTTAGATTACCTACAGCCGTCTGAAGAGGAAAATACGGCGAAAGTTTTTTGATCCATCAAAGTTTGAAACCATATGCGGAAAAATCTTACGTGGAAGATGATGGTTGATTGTTTAAAAATATTGAATAAAACATCTTCTGCGCAAATCACTTAGCATACAGTGAAAAGCATCAATCCCTGCGTTTAGATAGTTCCATTTGTAGTAAACGCAGTAGTCAGACAATGCACCTCAGACAAGGCAACGCGCCTTACCTGATGAGATTTTTGTCCTGTGTTCAAGCAGGTCGTAGAATGCACGTCGCTGCTTTGGGATTATGTTCTCTAACCTTCGTATATTGACGTTGTTCCAATAGTAATTACATTTCATAATCGCATGTCCCACCGTTAACAGTGCACATACAGATTAGGCGAAGCAGATTTTATTGCTATATTTAGTTGTCTTGGGAGATAACGTTTAACACAGATAGATACATGTCACATATAACAATAGTA